AATTGGCCAGTTTACCCAAATTCAAGAAATCACCATAAAAACAATCTACAATGAAGTAAACTTGATAAGATATTTAACTAATGTAACCAAACATGTTTTAATAAAGCCTAATTTGACATTTGAAGACGATATTGAAAGAGCGGGGTCGACAGAAAACGTCCATGAAAGAAAACGTCCATAAACTGAAAGAAAACATCCATTAAAATAAATTTCATTTAAATATAAATATATGTTGAAAAAGTAAACCTTTGGTAAAAGAATATGTTAAACATCTACTTAATAAATGAAATATTCACAAAAAAAAATCACTTAACTTTTCCTATTAGCTTAATTTTTTAGGAATTATATTTCCTTATGGAGTGAAAGAAAATGTCCATAAAGTGAAAGAAAATGTCCATGAACTGAAAGACAACGTCCATACAGTGAAAGAAAATGTCTATAAACTAAAAGTAAATATCAAAAGTCATCAAACATTTTAAAAAGTATTGATTTATCTGCATGTCATTTAAATGAAAAACAGAGTGAAAAATTTGGAGATTTACTTAAAAGATGCTCTAAAATAGAAACAATAAATTTACACTTAAACAAAGGAATGGGGTATGAATTTTTAGATATTTGCGAAGGGCTTCAGCAATCATTCAACACTCTAAAGAATCTATATTTAGCTGCATGTAATTTAAATGAAGTACAAAGAAAATTTTTGGGAAATTTGCTTGAAAATTGAACTTTTCCAAAATTGCTAAGATTTCTTTTTCAATTTTGCTTTTCCTATTAGCTTAATTTTTTGATATCAAGGTATTGTCAATTATTTTCAATAATATAATTCTGAGCAAAGCTGCAGAAGCTGGTTTGCATTAATTTCACCTTTTCTAAAATTTTCCCAAATTAAGAAAAGATCTTTTTGAATTTCACTATAAGTCTTCCTTTGAAGTCTAATTGTCTTTCTCTCATTAAAAGGTTTTTGTACAGATTTATCATGTCTGCTTCCCTCTTTAACTCATCAATCACTAAATAAAAAGAAACATTTTCTCCAACAATTTTATTGAGCCTTTGATGATAACCTTCCAGATCATTATTTGTCCTTATGCTTTGATCAAAAACAGACCAAGTCTCTGGAGACCAAAATGTATTTTTTATCCAAGTATTAGACACATAGTCCAACAAATCAGACAGTTTATTTTCTTTTGTCAGTTGATTTTGAATTTTAGTGAATTGATTTTCAATCATGCCATGAGGCAAATATGGCAAAGACATAATCATTCTCATGGATTCCCAAGCTCCCTCTTTTTTTCTAAATTCCCTGCTATAACCGAGTTCCTTAAACAAAACAAATATTAATTGGATTGTTAAAAATTTTAGAAATCAATAAACCTGAATTTTTCTAAATATTGCCTGAGACCAGTGAAATGAACATCCAGTCAAGACAGCATCAGGCCATATATTTTGTAAAGTTTTCCAAACAGCCTTTTCATAGTCTAAGACTATTTTCTTAGGAGCACAATTTTCAGCTAAATCCTTCACAGCCTTAAAAATTTAACATGATTGCTTATTAGTAAGTATATTTATGAAATGTAATTCTTACCTGGAAAAGTAGTTTATATGCTCTCTTTTTTTTAGAAGACAGAAAAGAAAAAAGCAATGGAACTTGCTTAAGCTGTCCATTTTTTTTCAAAAATACATGAATGGAGTACATTTGAATGAAAGGTTCATTGGCAATCTTAAAAGTACCATCAAGGTACCAAATTTTCCCCTTTGACAATAGCTCCAATTGATGATTTGTTGCAAAGATAATGATCCTCTCATTATTCATATTTATATCCTTTGTTAAAAATTCAGGAGGAATGAATGTCATATTCAGCTCAAAGTTTTTATCATTGGGTACAATAGGCCTGTTCTTCCTTCTATTCCAATTTCCACTTCTTTACAATTAATTATATTTGGTATGTTTGAAGTACTAGAATACTTGACAAGAACATTTTCAGCAATTCTTTTACCTGAAGAATTTATATCACTAGAACAATTGTCTTTGATTTCATTTCTTATACGAATACTGGTTTCTAAATATTTTATTGGTGAATGACAATGAATGTTTGTCCCAATTGCAAAATTGCTTCCTTTTTGATTGATGCTTGCTTTACATTTTCTTTTTTTGCTTCTGACAGAACAAGTCCATACAGTAGTTGTTTTTGTTTTTAATTTAATAGTATATGAAAAACCTTGGTGAAAAAGTAAGTCTTTGCCTTTTTGACTTCCATGTGGCAGAATTTTAAAATGAAAATCATCAGAAGAATTTTCTTTGGCAGATGTTTCACTTTCAAAAGATTCTTCCTCAATTTTTTCAGATTCTATATATGCATTTTGAATTGTTTCAAAATTTTCAACTTCAATTTCATTATCATATTCAATATCACTTCCATTAATGATATTTCCTTTGTCAACCTTTGTGTTTATACTTTCATCATTATTGTCATTGCTACTCCATGATATAGATAACCTCAATTCTTCTGTGAACTCTTCAGTACTCTTTTCTTGTCCTTGATTATTGTCTCCTTTCTCATCAATTTTTAATTTTTCCTCAGTCATGCTGTTATTCTCCTCAATATTTTTTTCTGGATATTCAACAATTGCTTCTTCCTTCTCATTAAGTTTTGCAGTAGAATTACTTTTTATTGGTACACTTTCCCTGCATTTTTTTGGTTCATCAATTCTCTTTAACATCACAAAACAGGTTTTTTTAGTTATTTTATAACAAATAAAACAGAGTGGTGATGCTGTTGATGAATCTGGAAGAAAAAAAAACAGTAAATGTTTTTCAAATAGAAGATAGTACAAACCATGCAGACATTTTATATGACAAATATGCAGGCACAATGAGCATTGGCCTTTTATTTGCCTACCAACAAATTGATCATTGCAAATAGAACACTTATCCATTATTCAATATTTTTTCTAAAATATTGGAGAAAAAGAAGAGCTAAACTAAAATTAATAAATGAATTTGTCATATCATTATTATGATTATTTATGTAACAATTAGTATTTTGACAATAATATTGAAAAAAAACTTCATTAATAAATAAAATTGCTAAATTTATGTTAGATTGATTATTAATAAAATAATCAATAAGTTTTTAATCACAAAGATTAATAAGAACAAAAAAAACCTCTAAAAATTAAAAATTTCATATTACCTCAAGAGAGTGAAAATAGAAGAGGAAGTTGATATTTTGTATCTCTTTTCCTGAAGATTTCTTCATCTCTACCAGTTTTTTTAAAGTTTTGTGTTAATTTGTTTTTCAACATATATTTATATTTAAATGAAAATTTCTTTATTTTATGTGTTCTTTTGATTCATGGATGTTTTCTTTCAGTTTATGGACGTTTTCTTTCACTTTATGGACGTTTTCTTTCAGTTTATGGACATTTTCTTTTACTTTATGGACGTTTTCTTTCAGTTCATGGACGTTTTCTTTCATGTACGTTTTCTTTCATGGATGTTTTCTGTCGCATCCTGAAAGAGCTATATATCAATCCAATTAGGTTTAAAATCACAAATTTGACTTTTTTTAATAAATCTGTTCTTACAACTTTTTTTTGGTAAGTTGGCTTAATAGAGATTAATGAAGTTTTTCATTTGTACACATTTAGGCAGTTTGTAGGTACTAAACACATAAGCTCGTAACCAGGCTCACAAATTCACACAATACACCCAAATTGTTACATTTCATTCATCAATGGAAAGCAATATTGAAAGAGTATTATAGAGTACTCTACACACCTAAAACTACAACATACACTATTTAAACCAAGTTGTAAAAGTATTTTACAACTTAGATGTTAACCCAAATTATTATACACATCATATTTAATGAATATTAATTATATCTTCCACTATTCTATTTATATTTGGAGCTTTTAGATTATTGTCACTTTTCAACAGTATTGTATGCACAATACTATATTGGATGATTAAGTTTAATACTTTTATCCTACCAGTCCTTTACACAGAAACATATTATCTTACACAAACAATTATTATTAATAATTTGTTGTATATTAAAACGGCATCAAGTTGACCTTTTCCTATTTTTGTGTTTTGGAATCAATCCAACTTCTATTAATAATTGTTACATCTTAGGCAACTTTCTGACCTACTAAAATAGGGAGCAAAAGTTCTCCAAGATAAAGAAAAAGTAACAAACATGGAAGTATATTTGAACTTTCCCTTTATCCAAATTGTTACATTTGTTTGTGTGAATATTTTTATCCGTGAACTGTGAACTATTGGAAAAGTATATAAACCCTACGAATTTAACAGTAGTCAGTTCAGTTTTCTAACCATCAGCTGGTTGTTCAAACTTGCTTGTTTAGAACTAGAAACTCATTTACTCAAATACATATTCTTTGAATGAAATACTGGTGTTTGTTGGTTAATTTTTACTGGAATTACATTTATTAAGACTACTTGTGGACGAACTTGAAAGGTTCTATTTGGACCAGTACTTTGGCACATTGGTAAATGATTGGAGAGGACGAATTTGATAGTGACGAGCTAGGACTTCCTACAATTACAATACAACAAAGTACATCATTAGTTGTTTTAAATGAAAGAACATTTCTATAGAATTTTAAAGCAAATAAAAAAAATAAAATGATATCTTATGTGTATGTATCGTCATCTTATAGCAATATTTCTCATCACTACCATCAAGGCAGTCCATATTCATATCACATTCATCTCTTTTATATATACATTGTTTATTATTGAATGTGCTATAAGAAATATTGTTGATTAAAAGTTGTAAATGAATTGCTTCTTAATTCTATCAATTAATAAATTACTTACAACAATTTTTCTGAACAAAGTATTGAACCAGTATTGTACAATGCAGATAGCACTCATAGAGATATGACCTAGTTTTGCAAAGGGCAGTTCATACACATTGTGCAGCAATAAAACCTATTAAATTATATACAGAATATTGATATTGATCTCAATATGTATTGATAATTTCTGACCTACATTTTCCAGACAAGGTTAGACAAAAAGTATGTGAAAAAAATTAGTTCATGTCTTGAGTTCAACAATTCACAATTGAAATATTCTAACTATGAAAGCATATTCAATACAAAAAATAGTTATATTCTAAGCCTTTAGGCCATAATTTCTTGTTTTTTTTTAAAATTACTGTTCCGTCGTCTTTAGTTTGTACTTGCACAATTCCTGATAGATATCCATACTTTCATCAATAGCTTCCTGGCACTCTGCTGGAATATCCCATTCTTGCTCTTTTCCTTCTTGAGTATTTTCAAATTTGTTTGTTGACAACAGATGTTTATGATATGGATTCCATGGACTTAAAAAAAAAACAATTTTTTTCAGATTTGTGGTCAAATTATTTTTAAAAAAATTATATTACTGTCGAAGCTTTTTAAAATTTGTTGTTGAACCATCCCATTCCACCATACAATGTTTATAGTCCATTCCAACCATCTGACAGTATTTTTTTACTACACCCACTAGAATTTTTAAATTAGTAAACAAAAAAAAGTTTTTATTTATAACTTTAAGATCCTGTCTACTCACCAGAATTATTAACTAAATCATCAGCTTCAATTACTATTGGCTCTTGCCCAAGAACTTTAGTAACATGTTCAAAAAGTTCCATCAGTTGCTTAAATCCAGCTTCAGTCTTGTCAAAACTAGTATAAGTTGGGTCCTAAATGAGTTATTCACACTAGGATTAATTTTGTGTATGAAATATTGAAAAAAAAAATAACCTCTCCTTTCCTTATTACAGAATACAGTGATCTGACAGTTTTATTTGGATTCCTAATAAGAAATGTGTGTTGAAATTTGTCTGGAAGTGCATCAAATCTTCCTCCTAGCTGATAGGCCAATTCTTTGATGAAAATGTATTTCTCTGAAATATTTAAGCATCATTATATGAAGTTGTTATAAGAGATAGTTTACCAGATGGTTCCTTTTCACACATTTCCTTACACTTTTGGAAAGAGTAGCCTATGTCTAAATTTACTTCATGTCTGCAAAAATATTTGTTGTATAATTTGAATGATTAAACCTGAACAACTCATTTATTTATCATTTATTTTTGAATTTTTTGTTACATGATAATTTAAAAGAATATAAAGATACCTGTCATGTTTTTTCTCAGAAGAATAGTAGAAGCAGGGCATGTATGGCTCAAGTAAAACCTGTTGCATGGAGAAATAGATAAATTTAATGAATGTTAAAATCTATTAATATAATTATACTAACCTTTGTATCTGGTCGTTGAGCCATTGCTCTTGAAAATGTTGTTGAACATGATCTGGGAGCTGTCCACAGGGCAATTTTTTTCTTGCCATTTCTGCTTAAATGCTTGTAAACTCAGTTTTTTATATTGAAAATATTCAACACAATACAGTCAAGATTCTTTTGTAATGGTTCAAAAAAATTGTATTACTAACAATATTGTACTTTGTTGTATTGTAATCATTACAATTTCTACTTCTGCAAAACAGTATTTGACTGTTTCAGGGTTAGGTTAAGGTTGGGTTAGGCCACTCACAATATCAATGCTCCAATTAAGATATTCGAGTCCAAGTTAAAATATATATATATATATTATGTATTAACAGAAAGAGTTTTCTTAAAAAAGGTTAAGTGCACTGTTTTGTCATCTAGTCTTCATCAGGCACTGTTGTTTCAAAATTTAAAATGGACTCAAAAACAGACAGAGAATAGAGGTAAGAGGTTAACCCATTCATGAACCAATTCACCCTGTCTGTATGTAGTACAGTGTGTTTCTGTGGCGTGTGTACATAGTTCCATATTATGGACTCTTACTATCTGTGTGTGTTTCATAACAAGCCTGTGTGGTGATATGTCCTGTGTGTATGTGTGTAGATGTTAATATGCAGTGTGTAACACAGCCACCTTTGATTTATAATGTGTGACCAACACCCTTAACTAAACACCTGGTTACAAGTGTGTATGCAATTGTGGGATTACCAGTCTGTACTGACTAATGCTATCAGATATGTGGGAATATTTACAATTCAATATACAATGAAACTCTCATTTGCCCAAGCCTTTGAACTGAAATTGTCACCATTGTACACACATATTCATCAGCTATACTATACAATAGATATACAGTATTAAACTAGTTTCACACAGTGCAGTGCAAATACAATGCCCCACAATAAAACCTATTAAATTATATACAAAATATTGCTATTTCCAACCTAGCATTAATGTTGTAATTTATTAATCTATAAAATTTAAGATTTTGAACCAAAAGCAGTTCAGAGTTGTTAATTTCAATGCATCATTCAGCATAGATATTTTATTCCTTTCTTTAAATATTTATTGGAATATTGTTGAAAACAATCACTGTCCTTGTTGAAAAAGCCCACTGTACTTGTTAAAAACACCCAATGGTGTTTAAAAACTGCTCATGTTCGTACCTGCATCGCAGCATATATGTATAATAGAATTGTGCCTACCCAGAGCAAAGATTTGAAATTGGCCTATTGATATTGCTCTATGTACTAAATTTGAAAGCTCTATAATAATTAATAACAGATTTGGTCTTTTAAAGACGAATATTTTAATGTTTAAAACAAAGTTTAAATATAACATTCATAGGAATGCATATCTCAGCAACTTCTTGGCAGATTTTGATGAAATTTGAAGTAAAATTAATGACAGAATAAGACTATATCAAATTAGAATGAATTGAAATTATAGGGTTAGCATTATATAATTTTATTAAAGCTTGAATTGCTTGTGGCATGTTCCCACAGGATTTTCCATGTGTCTGACAAATATATTATACATTTTTTTTCACAGAAATCAATTATAGTTTGAAGGTTAAGGAGTCAACATCATATTAAAAATAGCTGGTCTAATGAACAACTTCTACAATTCCTTTCAAAATATACATCCTTCAATAATAGAATGGTATGTCTACATGTCATTAAACAGTAAAGTGTCTTATATATATTTTGAATGTTTTATTCACAGGGTTCATATTTAGTTTGAAGAATAAGGAGTCAACATCACATTTAAAATACCCAGTTAAATGAACATCCTCTACAATTGCTGATGATTCTAAAATGGTATGTACAAATTCTGATATACAGTGTCATAATACATAGCACTTTCAATATGATATATTAGGTACGAATGAAAAGTTTCAGTCACTGTGTGTTTTTGTTAGAAATATTTGATGAATGTGGTTAATTTTTGTGTATGTTAAAGCCTAAAGTATATGCTACAAATATTGATAATTTAATTTTTCAATAGTCCCCTCCGTTTTCTATACAAGCCTGCCATTTGCTAGGAAGTAGAGTGATGCCATTCCGGTAAAACGAGGTTGGCTTTCTCCTCAGAAAATCTTTGACATCTGTCTCCAATTCCTCCAAATTGTCATAATGAGATCCTCTGATATGGTCCTTCAATCTCCCAAAAAGATAATAGTCAGAGGGAGCCAAATCAGGACTGTAGGCTGGGTGAGGGCATAATGACCACCCTTGATCTCTTATGAAATCTGTTGTATAGAGACTTGTATGCGGTCTTGCATTATCATGCTGTAGTATCATTTGTTTTCCAGGTCTAATTCTATGCAACCTCTTCCTTAGTCTCTTTAGGGTCTCAACATATTGTATTGAGTTGACTATTTCTCCATACTCCATGAATTCAATGTGGACTAAACCAGAATAGTCCCAAAAAACTGAGCACATCAGTTTTTCTGCTGACTTGGCCATTCTAAGCTTCTTGTCAGGTGGAGATGATGTGTGTTTATAAGTCAAAGAAGACCATTTAGATTGTGGATCATAGAGGTGTACCCAGGTTTCATCTCCAGTCACAATTTTTTCTAAAAAGTCTCTTCCTTCTGCCGTGTATCTTTCAAGTAGCTCCATACAATGACTCACCCTCACCTGCTTCTGGTCCAGATTGAGAGCATAAGGAATCCATTTTGCACAGATCTTTCTGTATCCTAGCTCCTTTATAATTTTCCTTACAGTCTGTTGACAAAATTTCTATTTGTTGGGCAATTGCTCTCTGAGAAATGGTCCAATCTTCTCTGATAAGCCTGTCAATTTCTTCTCTATTCTGACCTGTTACAGCTGTGCTTGGATGACCAGATCTTGCCAAATCTTTAAAATTTTTTCTTCCTTTTTTTCTGTCAGATACCCACCTCCTTATTGAACTTTCACTCAGAGTTTCATCCCCACAAAAGCTTTTTAACCGCTTATAAATTTGTCTTGCAGACACCTTCTCATGCACTAAAAATGCTATGATTGGTTGTTGATCAGAACGTGTGCACATGACTTGCAGTTGCTCATACCAAAATAAATTTGTAATGCCTCAACAGAATCGAATGAAAGTTTGCACAGTGAAAGTTTACTAAGTTCCTAAGATTATTGGAAAGTATCAATGATATTAGTTAAGCCGTTTTAAAATTACAGCACAGTGACTGAAACTTTTCATTCGTACCTAATATATTAAAAAAAAACCTGAAGAAGTGAATTCCCTATTATAATCCTTTAACCTCTGTAGGTGTAGGTTATTAGACCCTGATGAGTCTACGCCTTGCTTTTATACAATTCCTTATCAGTTGTTTATGCCTCAACTGTCAACAACAAGGGTCTAACCCCAGATAAGGATTGTTCACAACAAATAAGGTGAAGGGTTAGCATATTATGCAATAGTGATGTAAAAAACTAATATACAACCTTTGTTATATAACAAGTTTCATTGTGAAAGCTTGTGAATGGAAATGACATTTCTTTTTTCATTCAAAAATATTATTTAGTATTTTTTATATGTTTTGAACATATAGTACAGGTAACCTTTTTTTGAATGCCCAGCTATTTTCTATATTAGTTAAAATATTTTTTCTTTAACATTAATTTTACAATCCAATAATTAGACATGGCAATTGTGACTTTGTAATCCATGTATTCAATTAATTAAATCTTTGTATTTTACTGTTTAAACAACAAAAAATATTTTATTCTGAAAAAATTGGGAAAAGTGCCTGATATCCTATTTTTGAACAATAAGTAAAAATTTATGAAAATGACCAAATTATTGAGTAAAATGAGTTTCTAGTTCGAAACAAGATAGTTTAAACAACCAGCTGATGGTTAAAAAACTGCACTATCAACTGTTAATTTCATGGGGTTTATATCTCTTTTATGCTTGATGGAAACATAAAAAACAGAGCATTAAGAGAGAAAATGATCAATTTTTAATTTAAAAATGCATCTATAAATATCAATCGCACTGGTATTGATTATGGAACATTATCCGATTCACATCAATTCCTTAGGTTAAATGTATAAAACATTTCCTTTCAGAAAATATTTGTAGTAAATTTCTCAATTTAATACGTTGTTCTCCATTCAAATCACCACTAGACAATGTAAAACACTTTAATGTATGTGATTTGTGAAGTCCTTCACAAATATTAAAAATCCCACTTCCCATCTGATTGTTACAACGTATGTGTACAGTTTTGATTTTAGAACAATTATTAAGCAAATTTCCCAATTTTTCACCACATTCTTCATTCAAATTACATTGAGAAAAACCAAGATATTTTAAGACATTTGATGATTGTTGAAGTCCCTCACAAATATCAAAAAATCCATTTCCTATCGCATGATTTTGACTTAAACTTAATGTTTCAATTTTAGAACAATTTTTAAGAAAATTTCCCAATTTTTTACAGCATTCTTCATTCAAATTACATTGATAAAAACTAAGATATTTTAAGACATTAGAAGATTGTTGAAGTCCCTCACAAATAGCAAAAAATCCATTTCCCATCTCGCTACTTTGTCCTATATCTACTTTTTCAATTTTAGAACAATTTTGAAGCAAATTACCAAACTGTGTACTTTGTTCTTCATTCAGATAACAACGAGGCAAGTAAATATCCTTTAATATATTAGAAGATTGTTTAAGCCCTTCACAAATAACAAAAAACCCATTTCCCATCATTCTATTTCCATCTAAATGTATTGTTTCTATTTTAGAACAATTCTGAAGAGCATTTCCTAACTCAGTGCTTTGCTCTTCATTTAAAAAACATTCTGTCAAATCAAGATTCTTCAGTACATTTGATGACTGTTGAAGCCCTTTAAAAATTTCGAAAAGTCCTTTTCCCATCTCTACACTATAACTTAGATTTAATAGTTCTATTTTAGAACAATTTTTCAATAAATTTCCCAATTTATTACTTTGTTCATCATTCAACTGACAATAAGACAATTCAAGACTTTTTAA